ATGTTTCTGAGGCACAGGAAAATCCACAGAGGCCCGGGTGACGCCATTCCCAGAGTGAGGGGTCCCCTCTGGGTCGTGTGAGGGACTGAGGCGTGTGGGCTGAGGGACATGGTGCCCCCCCCAGGTGGCCTCTGGGTGTCTGAGGGGGAGCTGGACGGGCTTTCTCCTCGGCCCCAGAAGTTTGGGTTCGGGCAGGTTTCGCACTCAGCTCTGCAGCCCTGCCTTGCAGCTCCCAGGAAGCCCCACCGGGCCGTGTGGAGCGTGTCCACTCCACTCACGGATGCGAGAGAGAGCTGCCTGCAGGCCAGACACGAGGGTCGGTGAGCAGCCCGCACTGAGCAGGTTGCAGGCATTGTTGCGGTGCGTTCCCGCAGCGTGCAGCTCTAACCTATAGCCGGTGCGCCGGCCCGCGCAGTTCCCCTGGCCCCTGAGTGGCCTGCACGCTGTCGGCACTTGCTTGTGTCCCAGCTCTACGATGTGAAAGGACTCTGTGATGTTGGAGAGCCCTACTACGAAGGCACAGCTGGCAAGCGCTGTTGAGACAGCACCGTACGGGGGAGTAGAGAGTTGGGAAACATAGAAAGCGGTCGCTCGCCAGTTATGTTGGGTGGAAAGGATTGTTCTAATCCCGTGAATTTCAAAAAATAACCCCACCCAACCTGAAGCCGGCCCTGCAACGGTGATCGAGGCGTCGCGTGCCAGGCACCGAGCCAGCCACGGGACGAAGGCAAGCACGACGGTGATGTGAACAGCGCGCCGCTGAACAAAAGCAGCCGCCGCGCCCAATGGACGATTTCAGGGCCACGTGGCAGAGCATACCCTGGAGAGTAGGAAGGCCCCCTCGACGGCCACGATGACTCCCGGCTCCCAGCGCTGGCCTTCCCGTCACTGGGTTTCTGCGCCCACCCTGCCCTGGGAGTTAGCGGTGCACTGGGTCTGGCCCGCGGCCATGGTCGCGTGTATGTTGGACGCTGTCCATGGAGCACCCTAAACATCCGTGTAAACCCGTGTGCCCTGGCTGTCAGGGGCTGTCCCTGGGGGGCAGGCCCAGTCTCTGCCCCTCCAGACTGGTCTGCACCCCTGCACGGGAGACCGCGGTTGGGACCAGGACGGCACACGCGAGCACACTGGAAAGTGGGTGTCCAGTGCGTGGTCTTCCTGTTGGTGTCAGCCCCTCCCCACCACGCGGGTCGGCGAGTGTGTCGCCCAGCCTGAGCCCCACGCGCCTGGGGACTTTTTTGTGTTCTGGGCACAGAAAATCCACAGAGGCCCGGGTGACACCATTTCCCAGAGTGAGGGGTCCCCTCTGGGTCGTGTGAGGACTGAGGCGTGTGGGGCTGAGGGACATGGTGCCCCCCCCAGGTGGCCTCTGGGTGTCTGAGTGGGAGCTGGACGGGCTTCTCTCCTCGGCCCCAGAAGTTTGGGTTCGGGCAGGTTTCGCACTCAGCTCTGCAGCCCCTGCCTGCAGCTCCCAGGAAGCCCCACCGGGCCGTGTGGGGAGCGGGGCCCACTCACGGCTGCGGGGCCTCCAGGCCGGCGCCGGGCTCTCTGGCAGCCCCCTGCATGGGCAGTGCGGGTGTCCCCGCCAGACGCCGCCTCCCACCAGCAGTGCGCAGGCCCGCGCAGTCCCCTGGCCCCAGTGGCGCTGCACGCGGCACTTGCTCTGGACACCTCTCGGGTGGATTGGTCGTTCAGCCCCAGGGACCAGCTGCGTGGGAGTCAGATGGAGGGGGGGTCGTCGCCCAGAGGGTGAGAGGGCCCCGGGAGAGGTGTCCCTGCAGCCCAGGCAGCACGCGTGTA